CTCAAAACTTTGAATCTAAATCATAATCAACTTGTTCAACTTGGAGATTATCTTTTTGAAGGTCTGAGCAATCTCACAGAGCTCAGAATGAATAATAATAAAATTAAAGCGGTGTCATCCACCTCGTTTAGGTCCTTAACAAGCTTAACGCTTTTGGAAATCTCCAGAAACAAACTGCATCACATAACAACATTGAATTCAGTAATACAGAATCTGCCAAATTTACAGATGCTGTCAGTTGAAGACAACAATTTACCCACTTTCAAGTCATGGGAAATGACAAACCGCTCTCTAAAACTTACACAACTTCATTTGTCTCAGAATCGCTTTTCAGTCTTTAGTATCACTGCAGATGTTTTTCCAAACCTTAAATTGTTGAACATCGGCTGCACTTATAAAAAACAACCGCTGATATGGGAAGTTGGTAAGACTTTTCTTAGTCAAGTGTCCACTCTTGATATAAGTGGGCTTCAAATTACTCCTGAGAACAGGAAAACAATACAAGAGCTCTTCAACTTCTCACTGACCTCTCTGACGATGAATGCTATGAAACGATCAAACCGTACAAAACTAATCAATATGTCCTGCACCATCCCAACAGTGTCCAAACTCCAACTCCAACGTAACAACCTCTTTTTTATCGGGTCAAATTTGTTCCAGGGGTGTATTAATGTAAAAGAGTTAGATTTATCACATAATGGAATACGAAAAATTTCAGACAAGGCCTTCACATATCTTCAAGGTTTAAGGATCTTAGATCTGAGTCAAAATAAGCTTTTTTCTGTTCCAGCTGCCACTAGCAATCTACCAAGACTTGAAAAGCTGTCTTTCAAAAGGAATAACATCAGCAGACTTGAGTGTGACGATTTCACCAATCTGACAGGGCTCAGAGAGCTTTACCTTCATCAGAATCAAATTTCAGCTCTACAAAAATGTGTTTTCAAGGATTTAATAGGATTGCAAGTTTTAAAGCTAGAGGAAAACTACATCTACAATTTAGGAGATGCTTTCACAGAGTTCTTACCAAATCTTACACAACTGCATTTGAATGCAAATAAACTCTGCGCCATTCAGCGAGGGGATTTTAATGGCTTGCAATCCCTCAAGAATTTGTCATTACATGACAATCAAATAAAGAAACTTGCAAATGGCTCCTTCATCGGATTGACGGATCTAGCTGTTATTCAGCTGCAATTAAATAGTTTAAAAGAATATACATTCGAACTTGCTTTCAATGATCTAATACATTTGAAAAGATTGGATTTAAGGGAGAATCACATTCGATACCCCAACGATAAAGATCTGCATGATCCACCATTTTCTCAGCTGTCTGATCTGGAGACACTGGCTATGCCATCGCAACGCAGAAGGTTGAAGTCTCATCTGCCTCGCAACTTTCTGAAAGGTTTGATTAACCTTTCGTATTTCAGTGCAAGGAACATGCAACTTCTGCATTTCCACAAAGACATGTTTAATTACACGCCTAAACTGCAAACACTTGACATTAGCTCAAATGACCTAAAATATCTTTCTCCGGATCTGTTTTTCCAAATTGGCAACCTTAAAAGCCTCTACATATCTAGAACAAGTCTTGGGTCTCTAGATTTCCTTATTGATGCCAACCTTACAAACCTGGAGTTTCTACAGGCAACACATAATGAATATTCAGTTATCACTATGGAAGTTATAAAGTCCCTACCGGCTCTCGCTTACATTGATCTTGAGGCCAATAGTTTCACCTGTGACTGTGATAATGTCTGGTTTGGCCAATGGGCAGTTAATGACCCGCAAACACAAGTGGTTGACGCCTCCAACTTTGAGTGCAACTATCCAAAAGGCCTTAAAGGTAAGAAACTGTTGGACCTAGACGTACGTTCCTGCACAGTGGACATTGAATTCATCTACTTTATCACCACCACATGTAGCATACTCCTGTTTATGGTGGTGACCTTCACCTACCATTTCCTGAGGTGGCAACTGGCCTACGCCTACTACATCTTCCTGGCTTTGCTCTTTGAAACAAAGTATAAAAACAAGAACGCTCCAAATCAGTATGACGCCTTCATCTCCTACAACACCCATGATGAGCCATGGGTCATCAAAGAGCTGGTGCCAAAACTGGAAGAAGAGCAGGGCTTCAAATTGTGTCTGCACCATCGAGACTTCGAGCCAGGTGAGACTGCGTTTTGCACCAGGCACTAAACTAATATTTTAGCCATGCTAGTTAATTATTTTGGAATGGCAATGTTATTCTATCAGGTGGTTTGTCGAGAATTATGGCAGTGTTCAGATTAAGGATCGGTTTCAGGGGTCTTTATTTCGAAAAAAGGGCAAAGAGCAACATTGCTAATCTGGCAACTGACTGGGTAACATGGGGGCTGGTACTGTATGTGTTCTGACAGATTGATTGGTAAATGAGACATGGTTGTGTAGAAAACTATTATAAGAGTAGGAAAGTCGTGGGGTTTCTGGGAGAAGGGTGGGGTATTGCAATAGAGATGCAGGGGATTGGGGAGGAACAGAAAGGCAGAAGGGGCAACAATTACTAAAAACAAGAAGAGCTGTCAGAATTGGCCAAAAAGATGTTTGAGAATTCAAAAAAATAAATAAAAATAGGTTCATACATTTGGTTAATAGAATTGTATTTCCATGACACGGTATCTTAAGTGGCAGATCATTTTTGCAGTAGTTTTGTACTGTATCTTTTCCCCAGAAGGTGTCACTATAGTACTTTTTTAACTACACCATCCGAGGAACTAATCAGGTGAATGTCTATGTTATTATCTACTAATATTTTCCTTTACTCTACCTCAGGTAAACCCATTATTGACAACATAACAGATGCCATTTATGGAAGCAGGAAGACAATCTGTGTCATCAGTCGCAAATATCTTGAGAGTGAATGGTGCTCCAGAGAGATCCAGGTGGCCAGGTAACATGCAAGCTGACTCTAAACGTATCTGAGCTAAGACACATGGCAGTCCAAAGCCTCCCTTACTGTTGGGGTCTCTATTAAAATGACAGAAACATTCAAATCTCTGCAAGAAAAACATAATTTCAAACACCATGTTTACCATGAACAGTGTCATAATCTTAAACCTAAACCAAGTCTGAAACTTTGAAAGAATCAAAAATAATTGCTTTTGATTCATCTTTTTATGAAATGAAATTTTAGAAATGTCTGATATGTTACTGACATAACATTTGTATTAAAAGGTTATTACAATACATTTGTTCCATCCGTCTGTTTCCTCTGTGTAGTTTCCGCCTGTTTGATGAGCAGAAGGACGTGCTGGTTCTGGTGTTTCTGGAGGATATTCCCACCTCTCAGCTGTCTGCTTACCACCGCATAAGGAAGCTGCTGAAGAGGCAGACCTACCTGAGCTGGCCTCAAGCTGAAGAGCATTCCGAGCTGTTCTGGGTGAAACTCTACCAGGCTCTGAAGAACAGAGAAGATATCAACGAGGACAGATTACTCCTCACTGTGGGGGACAAACCATGATGGAAAGGAAATACAATCCTCTTTATGTGATATTTGGAGTCGTATTGGAATGTGTTGTTTTTTTCAAAAATGTAACAAAGTATACCAGAAGAAGGTTTCTGGGATTACATTTACCTACCAACTACTGTGGATCAGCTGCTCTTACTGGTTTAACTGAAATGGAAATGAATTTCAATAGTTTCCATACACACAAACTGGAAGACCAAGTTATGACTAGGTATGAGTGAAATGTGTTTTTTCCATAAGCAGGTGAGCCCTACCTTTCACTTCTAGAATGGGGCAGTGAACAGATAGTCATGATTATGATCATCTTTTAGGATGCCACAGTTTGATTTCACTCTTTGACAGTTTTCCGCAACACTTGAAAAACTGTCTCTTGTAATAATGTATATTTTGAATTTAAACCTTTATTTTAACTTCTTTGATTTTATCTTAAAAGCAGTTAGCACAAAATGAGCTCTCTACTTTTCTACGTTTTTGTTCATCCCATAACGCTTAAAAATGCATGTTTTACAGTCAAGCTTTATTCAAACCTACAGGACTTTACTTCTCCTAAAGTTTCAAGAGATACAAAAACTGTAGACTTCAAATTATGGGAAATGTTAAAGGTCCCCTAATATACTGTTTTTCATCAATATATTATGGGTCTCTGATATATTCAAAACATGTCTCTGAAGTGTTTGGCTCGAAATACCAAACGCATCATGCAGGGTAGCATCCCATAAACCCCTCTGTTTCAGCCCTGTTTCAAAAGTGCTGATTCTCTGTCTTTTACTTTAGATGAAGTTAAGATTAGATTAGATGAGATCCAGATGATAAGGTGGGGGGGTGTTACCGTTATTGGCTAATAGTTACACAAGCCAAACAATCGTTATGATGAAATCATAAAGTGGGCAAAATCTGATCATCTCATTTTCAGAAAGGTTTTTATGCAAATATATCAGGACAAAGACTGAGGGAATCTTTTTTCCTGAAGCATTCAGAATATCTTTACACAAAGGGGACACATGTTTGTGTATAAAATACATGAAAACGTGGATTTTGCATAATAAGTGCCCTTTAATTGTGCGAAACTCTAGGATATTGTTGAATTAAATATTAATGAAGAGCTAGAACAATGTGTAGAACAAATATGATACAATCAAACAGTGTGGAATAAGATGATTTTAAAGCTATTCTATTAAAAACATTTTTTAAATCTTATATTTCAAATGAGTTTTTATCGTTTATGCCTATTTACTTTATTAATTATCAGAAAACTGATTTTTCAACTCTATTCTCTTGTCATTGTGATTTATCTACTGTTATAATATGTCTACTGCATTTGTGCTCATCTTGATTTAAAATGCTGACCTTTGGTTTACTCATTTAACACTGTAAACTAGGATAACATTTAGAATGTGCAGCAGATATAATAATAGTTTTTATTAAAAAGGGTGGTATGTAACATGTGGATATGCTGAATGTTATGAAACTCAGACAAATGCATTATTAAACATCTCTGTTTTTATTAATCCTTTGACAATATAAATTACAATTCAAACTTTTACTCTCAATTCCTTTTTACTAAAATGTCTTTACAAAAATATACTTCTCCAATGATGATCAGTTACTACCTGTTTATAAAACACACAATCTTATATAATAAGATGTAATATAATAATTTAACAAAATGACATGATAATCCCTATCAGGGTACTTCGGTGTACGAAGGCTTTTAAATATTAGTTATATCCTTCATACAGTAACTTTCGTATACAGCTCATGTGTCATGGCCTCAGGTTCGGTTTGCTATGATCTCACGGATATTCTTCCTCCTTTCTTCTTCCTCCTTTCACTGCAGAGAACAATGAAAACACAATATTATTTTAGTTCAATATTCGGAAGAGTACTTATTGAAGTTAGAGACAAATGAGTATACTCACTCCACACATTTCATCTGTCTCTGAGTGCGGATGCTTGAAGGGTCTGCACACACAAACCTTCCTGGGAGGTGGAATCTGTGGAAAAAAGTGAAGACTTCATCAAACACGAGAAGCATGAATGCAGTTCACCAGAAAAACAGGTCCTTTCTAGGTTGTGTATTAACCTGTTAGTGTCTCTATACTCTACATATTGCAAAAGTTACATATGGGGGCGAATCCTGCAGCACATAATGATTGATTTTGAGTCATCTAACTGGACTGGAAAGACAAGCGAGAAGTCGGTGCACTTGGGATTCAGAAGCTAACCCGCTAATGCTTTGTTAAGTCACGTCCGGGGCCTGCCCTCTAATGTGTGACCTTAAATAACCAGGATGTATTTGCTTAAACTGTTTAACTCGCTTCTGTCTTCAATAAAGCACATTTTGAACAAGGTCAATAATCTTAACACATACTGTTAGGTTGTTTAGTGGTCAAAATAATTAATAAAGAAAGCAAAATCAATGACCATGTTAACTGCAGTTTGAATCTAAAATACATTGCTCTTCTGACAGAAGGATATGTTTAATGAAAAAAAAGATATAAGATATACCATTTAAAATCCCACTCTCCGGAGTGTTTGCTTGTTTATATCTTCCTATCATCTCCTTTTCAAAAAAAATGTCGGACACCCAAACTTTTTTAACTTAGGTCCACTGTCACTATTTCTAAGTAGGGCCACAATGATTTGTCAATTAACTGATTATTAGATGAAATAAAAAAATATTTTTAGGTCATAAAGCAAACAAGCCAACCATTAACTCAAGAAAGCAATTAAATATGTTACGTTATTTGACACATCACCTTGGTATGTAGTATAATGTCATAGGGATAATTCAATTTAGAAACATGTCTGCAGATGAATTAATAATAAAGTTTATACACTGACTTGCTCCCTGTTCTGCAGTTACTACTGAAGTGCAGAATTGTAGTCTGAAAAGAGATTTAATCATTTACTCACATAATAGCGTTGATGTCACAGGACGTGTTAATGGTCTGGACGGTGTAGTCGAGCAGCCGTTGGCATGGCAATCGACGACTGGTGTAACTCAGGCAGCAGCTCGCTGCAAACACATTGTGAACAAAAATACATTATAACATTTTTCTGGTTTAATAATTAGCTTATTAACCTTGATTTTACCCTGAAACATATAATGGTAAATATGCCTGTTTTCAGAGCTTTAGGATTTGCAGGTACTTCATGTAACACAAGCTAAATAAATTACAGAACTTGCTTCCTTATCCTTTTATAAATGCATCTACACTTGCCAGATATTACACAAAAAAACTGCACATGTATTATCTGTAGCTTGATCTGTAGAACTCACCTGACTGTGTGCTGCCGATAAAGGTTGACAGGATGACCAGGGAGCACAGAGTTGCCATGAAACACACTTTACCGCTTGCCATAGTTTCCTACAGTTGGAGTGCTTATTCAGTTCTGTTCTGGAGGAATCCAGTGAGAGTGTGACTGAGAGTGTGACTGAATCTTCACGTCTCACTCCTTTTAACTAGTGTAGGACGTGTCTGGGATTTTCCCATGCTCGGCAGGATTGTGCAATGCCATGCCATTGTTAAGAATCTGGAAATGAGCCAGGAAATGGAGCAAGGTTAAATATTGAACAGAAGCCAGCATGAGTAAGCTAGATTACAACTTTTAAAGACTTCTACAATGAGAGTTGTTAGCAGCCCTAGATCCAAAAGTTGCATAATCGTAGTTTAGTTGGCATTACTCACAGCTAGTTTAATTAGGCCTCCTGGACACTTCTACGTTTTATTAGGAAATGTACTGTATAATTGCAATGTAAATAATTATAATGTACAGTAAAAGGAACCTTTGCAAAAGTGATTATTGGATTGAATTAACCAAAATAAATAAAAGAGTGTTAGAGCAGGGTTCTATGTGTGACTTTTTCCAAGATAGAAACAAAAAACACAATGGTATCTGAGAGAAAGATAACCCCAACACAACTGTAGTGACATTACTGTGTGTTTATGGAAACACAATCTAGGGAAAATCCAGGGGGACTGTTAAAATGACCCTTCGACATTTGAATGGTAAGAGAGGTGATACGTACGATCCAACTTCATGTGGTTTGGATAGGCCTTTTTAGAGGTTAAAAAGACATTCAGAGACAATTTGTTGAGTAGAAAGTCCCACAGGTAGCTCTTCAGATGTTCATTTGTCTGATGTGTGAAGTGGCCTTCAGTGCCCCCTAACACTGACCTCTGACCCCCCTGTGGCCCCCCTAACAATGAAACGTTTTTTTTTTTTAAATGTATATTTTCTGGTACTCGGTTCACCAAAAACCGCAGGATTTTGTTGCTGTAATGTGAGATTGTGCAGACACCCTTATGTAAAGTAGAGATGTAACTGTTCATTGCCTTTATTTTTATATAAATATGGTGTTAGTGCAAACATTGCACTATAACTTAAGCTGAAGCTAACAGTAATAACTATAAGATCTATCTGAAATAAATAAGTGTACTGAAACAAATACCAATAACTGTATTGCATTGTTTTCTTATGCGCAATTCCTTCATACTGTCTAGTTCTCTTTTTCGTCCTGCATTTATTGTGCCCCCCTCAGAAAATAACTGGCCCCCCAGTGGCCCCCCCAGTCAAATTGGTCTAGAACTGCCACTGCTCCATAGGGTTTCATTTATTTTGTTGGCAGCTCATCCCTCAGTTTGCTTATAAGGGGAAATATGAAGGGTATATTTCAAGCTTGTTTGGTATATAAGTTATTGAGCCTTTTTCTTTATCAACTAAGATGTGTTAGAAAATGTTTCAAACTTTAATAATTGACTGAATTTATTTGAAAAGTGGGCTTATTAACACATGAATACTACTGTGTAATATATATTTACATATATATTTAAGAAGTGCAATATAAGACAGGCACATCCTTTTTGGGCCATATTACACTATATTTTTAGAATTTGCTGAGGGCCGATTCAAAATGGTCTGCGGGCTGCATTTGGACCCCGAGCCGTAGTTTGGACACCCCTGGCCTAGACTGTCTTTGAGACATTTTCCTTCAACATGAGGCATGGATTGCTTCAATCAACATCACCAATTAACATTAATTGAACATCCACACAATAAGTGGCTACATTTTTAAGTGATGCATTTTTACAATGAGGGAGCCAGTTGGACGTGGGTGTGACATGTTTTTATAGACAATTTATCCCAAACGTAATGATGACTATTCAAGCCCTTATCAGTCAACCTTAAAACATAGCTACATCGTTTTTGTGTTTTAACCACACCGCAACCAGCTACATTTGCATTTAGAGAACCATATTTTACAGTTAAACACTTCTTCTTCTCTTACACCTCTCTCTTGCTAGTTTAAGATCAACGTTTTTGACTGACTCATTTGTCATTTACACGGTTAGTGCTTATGTTTGGTAAGTAGCCAATGAAATTAAGCTCAGCTTTTTGCCCATTCCTCTCTGGGTCTTAAAAAGAGGTGTGACCAGGCCCTGTTTGAAGCAGGATGGAAAGAGGTGTTCCTGGTCCACATTAAACTATACCATGGGTCGGCAACCTTTTTGATATGAAGTGCCATTTAAAAAAAAAAATCTGAGTAGTGTGCCGACGTTCGTGAACTGTCAACGGGGGGGCACTCGTGAACTGTCAACTGGAGGGCGGGGGCAGCCTCGCTGCGGGGAAGCTGTGGACCTCTGTCGCCTGTCAGCGCAACTTACATGATGCAGTTTAAACACAGTTAAATAAATAAAGGGCGGTGCCGGCCGTCAGCGAACCAAGCCCGGTCGTCAATGGCCCGCTGGCGACCGGCTCGGTTCGCTGACGGCCGGACGCAGGGGCGGACTGGGGGGGAAAAAGTGGCCCGGGGATTAATTGACAGACAGGCCCACTTTATGGCGCGTTTCCACTGCAGGCCTCGCTCGGTTTGGTTAGGCCTTAAGGCCCGGCTCACTTTAATGCTGCGCTTCCATTACAGTTTAGGAACTGGGGTAGTTACTATAGTAACGCAGTGTAGGCGGAGCCGTGACGTCATGTTCAATGAGCGCCCCAAAAAACAACACAGCCGTTAGCTCTTAGCACTCAGAGCACAGCTCTTCATATCTGTTCAGAAACTAGACAACATTTAAACAAGTACAAACCACAGACTGCCTGTGTCATGGCGAATACAGTCACTGGTTTATTTATGTCTGTATAGGCCGTTGTTGTGAGTGTGGACGGTCGGAGCATATATAACGTTAGCTTAGCCAAGCTCCATTTAGAAAACACGCATTTTAAAAGGGTTTTTCGCCTGCCGTCTGTCTGCAGACTTGTCAAAGCATTAATTCATGGTTTTTACTAACCGGTATCAGTATGTTGTTACTTCGGCATCATTTTGAAACGTGTATTACAATTAAATCATGGTCAAATAGGTTCATCTTGTTGTAGTTGTAGCCCCCTTGCCAGCGATTCTCTCTCTAGTTTAGCATACTCAGCCCGACTCAGCCTGGTTGTTCCTGGCCCTAGAACCACGATTTAGTCGGGCCAGAAAAAAGGTGAAAAAGTAGCCCCGGGTCAAAACTAAGTGGAAGCGCAACCAAAAACGGGCCCCGCACGGCTCGGCACGCTTAAAGCGAGCTACCCGCTGCAGTGGAAACGCGCCATTAATGCGCTGCATGTATCGGCTGGCCGGCGACGAAAGTATGTTACTTAACAAAAAACCCTATGCATTTTATGTTATTTTGGACCATTATTCATATAGTAATCACATTATCTAAGCCCTTGAGTTGCCTAGAGCAAAATAGTTACAGCATAGTGATTTTAATGTTAAAACCTCTTAAGCACGGCGGTCCCCCCAGTGGACCCCCCCCCCCCCCACCGTTTTTTTCCGAGACTGTGTCTCAGGGCTTCTTAACATTTATGAAACTATTAATGTGTAGCACCAGATTAACAGGAATAATCTCAGCTAACTGAAGATATGAACCATTTTTACCAAAACAAAACACAGGGTGTACCAAGAAGTCAGTCAAGTCGCTTCAGCTGATTCAAAATGCTGCAGCTCGTGTACTAACCAGAGTTAGGAAAAGGGACCACATTACTCCTGTTCTGGCTGCCTTACACTGGCTCCCTATAGAACACAGGATAGAATTTAAAATTCTTCTTCTCGCCTACAAAGCCCTTAATGGGCAGGCGCCATCTTACCTTAAAGAACTCATTATACCCTACTGTCCTACTAGGGCATTGCGTTCCAAGAATGCAGGGTTGTTGGTTGTTCCTAGAGTCTCTAAAAGTACAATGGGAGCCAGAGCCTTTTCTTATCAAGCTCCACATTTGTGGAATCAGCTTCCAGTTTGTGTTCGGGCGGCAGACACCCTATCCGTTTTTAAGAGTGCGCTTAAGACCTTCCTTTTTGATAAAGCTTATAGTTAGGGCTGATTAGATTCAGCCCCTAGTTTTGCTGATATAGGCTTAGTTTGTCGGGGGACATCTTACTTCTTCCTTCTCTCTGTCTATACCTGTGTACTCTCATGTTCCGATTAACCCAGCTTCCCCAAATTTCTTTCTTTTTAGTGTCTATATACGCTGGGATCCGGAGTCATGGATGATCCTGCGGTCCTGTGTCCTGCATCGCGAGCCCTGGATCTTGAGTCGTGGCTGTGGTCCTGGATCATAGGTCCTGGATGGATATCCTCGTGGATTCATCTTCCTATTATACACACATGCATTTCCAAACATTTGGACTACCTATGTTGCAAATGTATTATCTTTTCAATTTACACACGGCATCTATTGCACGTCTGTCCGTCCTGGGAGAGGGATCCCTCCTCTGTTGCTCTCCCTGAGCTTTCTCCCATTTTTCCCTTTAAACTGTGGGTTTTCTTCGGAAGTTTTTCCTTGTACGATGTGAGGGTCTAAGGACAGAGGGTGTCGTATTGTCATACTGATATTCTGTACACACTGTGAAGACCACTGAGACAAATGTAACATTTGTGATATTGGGCTATATAAATAAACATTGATTGATTGATTAATTGATTGATTGATTGATTGATTGATACCAATTCTGAATTAGCACTAAGCGAAAAAATGCTAACGTACTTTAGCACAGAATTCAAAATAAAGTAGGGCTGTCAAACGATTAAAAATTTTAATCAGATTAATCACAGCTTAAAAATATATCAATCATGATTAATCACCATTCGAACTATGTCCAAAATATGCCATTTCTTTATGTATATTGTTGTGAGAATGGAAAGATTAATGAAAGAAGGCGGATATATCCCTTTATCATATGTATGTATGTTTATTATAACATTGTTCTGTGTGTCAAAATGAAAGACAGCCCACACACCTATCAATGATCAAACCGTGGGATCTTATTTCATTACGTGTTGATTTCTATCAACATGTAATGTTGTATCGATGTATATAGAGATGTACTACCGCAAAAGTATTCTCCGTCGGGACTTCCTGCAACAACACCACGCCGTTATCTTAATTCTGATTGGCCAG